TGCTTTCTGTGGTACTGTGCTGATCCTGGGAAGCTTCTGCTGGAGCCCAGCAGAGGCTCAGCATGGGTAGATGCAGCTTGCTGCTGGCAGTTTTATCAGGGATTGAGAATGGTTTACAACTGGATCTTGTCAGAAATGTTCTCATTAATTCCTCCCCCAATTAGAAAATGCAGATTTTGAGCTTGTGGCCTCCCGTTGCCAGTTTACAGCCTGACAACCCTGAGCTCAAACACCCCGATCGTCTTCTGCTTTCTAGAGGTGGTTTAATCCAAACTCCATCCTCTTGCTACTCCTAGACCCATCTCTTCATCTCTGCCTTACTTTGTTCTTGTCCTCGTTAGCACTTATTCTACTACATATTTGTTCAGACTTCTCACAGCAGGTGGAAGTTGAGTTCAAGTGAAGGGAGTAAGAATATAGGGTTTGACCTGCTGCAAGGTGTTTCAGATGCAAAAGGACGTGTTTTTCCTATAAATTGCACTGAATTTTAATCTTCTGTTCTTACTCTGATTATATGCAGTGAGGTCTATGTTATGAACTCTTACACTCTTCCCCACACCCAAATGCATTGCTACAGTAGAAGGCAGAATAGGTTCATTCATCCTAGGGGCAATCACCCGCCTGCTTGGGGCTGTACTGTATTTTCTGTTCCTTCACTGGTAGTGTGTTGTTGGGCCAAGAATATATTACTTATTTTGGCACTATTCTCCAACTCCAAATAAGCCATACATGCTTACAGTGCTGTAAAGTCATAATGATGCAATCGCAGTAGCGTGGTCAAATGCATACAAAGTGTGTATATAAAGTAAAATTAACTCACTGCCTCACAGCTCTGCTCATGTCGTAGCGGTTGTTTTTCTGATTCTATAAAGTATACTCTCCCCCTTTATTTCTCCTCTTCAACCCAGAAGCTCTTTGCTTCTTTGTCTGCTCCTACCACCTATTTCCAATTAGTAGAAATAACCTACAATTGAAATGGAACAATTGGATATGGTGGGGGTGAAAATAAAGTATCAAAACATCAACGTTTATTAAAAAAAAAAGTGACATAAGTCACTAATTTCCACAGAAACCAGGACTACTTTCCTGCAAAACTCTTACCATAAAAAGGAGAATATTCAAGACAAACCTTAACAGGTATCAGTACATTGCTTTCCAAATAGGATATTTTTCACTTTTAATTTTTGTTATGGAGAACCAGCACACATATTTTAGAGCAGGTATTTTTATAGAAGGTATTCCAAACTATAACTGAACCAAAGACTACCACCCTGTTGCAGGACCTCTTCAAAAGTCACGTCAGTGGCTTGGATTCCCCCATTGAACAGAAATGCTCCAACTCTGCTTTTGCACCAAACCAGAGCTGTTTGTTTCTGCCTTGGCCTCCATCTCGGGCCATCTCTGTATGAAAACAGACAGTTTTCACAGCACACACTCACAACTGACGACTATTTGCATTGTCTCTCTCTATAAAAGAGTAATACCATCACCTCTCCTTTGGATCCGCACACGGGAGCGAAGAAAAAAAAATGCTTTTGTGACCTACAAAAGCCTTACTTGAAATAATTCTCTACGACTTGAGGCCTTTTGGAAGGGAAGGGATATATTGTTTTGACTTGATTAAAGCTGAAAAGTTGATTTGACATCCTGTTGTCAAGGAAACCAATTCACACACAAAAGAAAACAGTTGTGATGGTATCATTCAGACTATTCAAGTGACCTTAGAAAGAAAAAAAGGCTTCAGTTCCAAAGATTTGTATTCAACTCACTTCACTACTGTAGAAATAAAGATCATTGCTCTTTATGCTTATTGGAAAGCAGTTTTCAATCTGGAAAAAGCAAAATGCCACATCTTCTTCCAACTGCCAGATCCAATACTTTGCTGGGACCATACACATAAACACACCTACCATTTATTGCCTATTTCAAAGAACCACAGAAAGAATCACACGGAAGACGTATGGAGAAGGAGAAGGAATTTCTTTATTTGACAGGACCATGATAAATACCCCCTGACACATACCACACCTATTGAGCAGCAGCTCACAAGCCAGGTTTTAAAACGTCCTCCTTCAACTACAAATAAAGCTTACCTCAAGCTCAGCAATGTTTGAGCCCAGCTTTGTTTTCCTGGGAGATATCAAAAAGCAGCATTTTTTTCTCTGCCAGCCTCCTAGATCCCTCACAAATTGAGTTTTTCATGCATGCAATAAATGGGACGTAGTTATGCTCAATCTGCTCACTCCTCCTACCTACAGGATCCCAAAGAGGCAGAACTGTTCTGGCTGACCACTACCACCATCATCCAGCTTTGCAGCTCATGCAAGTCTCACAGAGGTTTCATTCCCTAACAGCGGTGGGTAGATTGGAAAAGTGAAATTTTCTATCTATCCACTCATACACTGTAATTATACGTCTCTTTCTCCAATGACATAGCCTCTGCCTGGCCGAGTGAGCAGACAGACGACTAAATAGCAACTTGTCTCAAATTCAGTTTAGAAAAAAATAGGCATGATATTAATAAGGAGGGAAATACACTGAGGAATGAATGCCAGTGTTCTTACATTATTGTCATTTAAGGGCATCACACCAAAGGTCACAGAAATAATAAGCCTCAGTCATTTTCCATTTGTTACACAACATACAAATTGCCACAGTGTTAATGAATATCTTTCTCCATTCCTGGCCAGCCAAGACACTGTATTATTTCCTCTTAGACAAGTACCTAACCCTTGGAATTCATTATTTCCATCACTTCTTGCAGCACTTTGTCCTTAGGGCTGAGCATAAATGCCACAAGGCAGCTGTGACTGGAGCATCAAATGCTTCATATGGCTGAGCCTGACTTCTTTCTGATAGAGCTTTTTTGCTGTAAGAGCATACAAAGCATATTTATATAATTTATGATCAAATATGCACACACACACATTTATATATGCTCTCTTACAAGTGTCTTAAACCCCTTGCGGAACACAGGGGAAAAAATTTGACATTGTCTGTATTTTGTGGATATTTCAGTATATAAGTATCACGCAATAATAGTTATGCTGAAACACCAACTGACCACAACAATAGAAGCTACCATGAAATAACTGCATTTCCACTTAAAATGATGACAACTGGAAAGTAGTTCTTGGAACAGAAATGACATTCACAGAAATGTGGAAGGGCTTGTATGAAGGGATATACTGCTTATACCCTCTTTACTCCTAATAAAATAAGATAGCACAGCTGAGCTATAGAGAGAGGAATGCCTCATTTCTAATCTGTACTTCATCATATTTTAAGTTTAGGAATTTTGTATAAATATAGATAGCAACAGCTGAACCAAATTCATACCATTTCATAAACTAGGTGAGTTTTTTTAAGACATTAAATTATTATTTCCACTGTTCACGGTAAGTATAAAGAATATGCAGATGAAAAGAGAATATTGAAGGCTGGTAGCTTTGTACAGTTCTGAAAAAGACTAAACTTTATGTGCATTATTAAAATTAGAAAGAGAAGAATGAAGTCCAACACCAAATGCTGAACTAAAATAAGCCAAGGTTACTTTCTGCACATAATCAAACAACCTCCACCTCTGTCCCCCAGACTGAAACACCACACTCTGCATTTTGATGAACATCTTATCTTAGCATTTTCTCCTCTCCCGCCCAACAAACCCAAACAGCAAGAGCCAGAAAAGAAGAAAGCTGATGGCACTGCTAAGCTTACCCACAAACAGGTCCGTACTCCGTTATGAGTTTTGTGTGGTTTCCCCAAAAGCCCTGGATAAAAGAAAAATAACAAAGTACTTTAGAACAGTACTTAACAGAAACTCTATCGTACAGTGTTGCTAACACTCACACCAAAGCTTTGAACCTCAACTAGGAGACCCATGGTACTAACTCATAACCTCACCTTTCTCTCATTGTCCATCTGTGACAGTAGAGTCTAGAAATAATGACTGAAAAAAAAAAATCTCAGCCCCAAAAAAGACCTGGAAAGCCATGAAACATGTTTTCATCAGGGTTTTACACTCCAAAATATGTTACCATTTCATGATTTTTTTTTTTTAAACTAATTTCATGATTGGGGTCCTGACTCATAATTTTTTCCTGAGATGTGTGTGGATGGAAAAACTGACAGAGAAATTAATAACAGAATAAGTATATGACTTACTACACACGAGAAATACAGGGAACATGGAAAGGTTGTCTTGTTTTGGTTTTAGTTATATTATTAAAAAAAAAAACAAACCTGCAAAGTTCGGAGTTTAGCACAAGGCAGTCACCTGGGACACTCTGCAGAATAGTAAGCAGATTTATTTTAACAAACTCTTAGAATTTTTACTGTGTTTCATTTTCATAATTGATGAAAATTGGTATCCATTTATATAAATAAACCTGCCACTATACTAAATTGTTAGTGTCCTAAATGAATTCAAATTGATTAATCTGAAAGAAGGTGTGCAAAATGTATTCCCAAAAGTAAATGTGAAAAAAAATCTGTTTTAACCAAACCGCTATATTTGAGAATCACTGCATTGTGTTTGTAACTTGTCTATGGAAAAATAACACATTTGACTGCGTTAATCTGCATTTACATTAATTCAAGAAAGACTATTGTGATCTGTCTTCATTCTTCAGAGAAAATTCACTAACAAAGCAGAATACTTATGCCTCATATTGAATCTTTCTTATTTTTTTTATGACATACTGCAGAATATTAGCTAGAACAATATGAACTATTGTAAATACATTAACCACAGACATAAATAAAAAAGACCACATAATGTGTGTGTGCTTTGGGAACATTTTACCTCACTAAGCAAAAGAAAACCCGGTAATCAAAAGTAGTTATCCTACTTATCACCCAAATTACCAAAGCACTTGCAACCACCTACAGTCCTCCTCTTATAGAGCCCTTCAATTGCTTTTTATTCTTAATACAGTTGTTGGGTTTTTTTTAATCCTGGACTTGCAGTATGCTTATTCTACAGGACAATACGTCTCTAGGTTAAGGCAAGAACTTTAGGTTTTCCTTAAGCTACAAAAAGCTAAAGCACTGGATGGCGTGTAAGAAAACACACTAAAGATAAAATTATGAAAGAGATGGTTTAGATGACTGCCTGAAAAAATACATATTCTCACCTGAAAAATACTTTACTGCTAAGGTAGACAGAAAAGCCTCATCCATTAGCACGCAAAAACTAAGGTGGAAAAAGCCTTTCTGATACCACAAATACATACAGCTAACTCAAAAAGGCTTTTATCTGCAGACACCGAGGGAGGGGAAAAGGTACATACACATTCACACCGGCCTGCATTTTGCTACAGCAATACTTCAGCAGCAGCAGGATTTCAGCCTGCAATTGTTATGATTTCAGCATTGCAAAGGTTGCCTACTGCCTTCCCCTGCTGATGCAAGGGGAAATTCTGGGGCCAAATTCCCCCCAGCGCTATTCTCCAAGCAGTCATCTAAGACGGCATAAAGCAGGCTCCGCTCATCCGTGCACTCTGACCGCTTTGCCTGAGAGAGTGATTTCAACCTGCGTAAACACAGCTGACATTTACAGCCACGCTGAGGCACCAGCGTGACACAGGGCACTGCTCGAGGTTACCGGGCAGAGTCGAACGTGGGGTGCAAAGCACTGCTGTATCACAATGCTATCGGTTGCATGGGGCAGAGGGACTTCCAGTCTTGTGAGCTGATGCCGAATCAGGTCTGCCCTCCAGTCCACTTTCCTCGTAGCCTGAGCCTTCAGGGAGGACATCCCAAACTACAGCCTGAACCTTGCCTGCCAAGTTTTGCTTTGGATTGCGAGCACGCACATAGGTATTGCACTTGCTGTATCCACCAGCTGCATTCCAGCGAGCCAGCAGGATATTAACATTTACAAGAAGCCTAGGCTTTAAATGATTCAGTGAATAAGCCTTCCAGAAAGCCGGCTTCTTGGAAGCGCTGATCCTGGCTCACTACAGTAGAGGGGTCAGGCAGAACACATTTCCAATCAGGCCTGTTAACCAATAACTTGTTTTCCACCTCCAGGTCTCCTAAATGATTGCACTGGCTTAAAATTAACCACACTTAGGTTTTCTTCCCCCAAGTGAGAAGTACAAGCCTGCAGGATGGGGGGAGAGAAGGAGCTGAAAAGTATCTGGGAGAGATTGTGAGAAAGCATCCTCGGGAATAAAAAAAGCGCTTGTTCTCTACACTCGGGAACACTTTCTCACATCCTGCACCACTGCACACACATACACACCACTGCCTGCCTCTGCCGTTCACCCCTGGGACCCACTGCTATCCTGGCCCCCTTCACAGGCATGGTGAGCTCCTGGGAGCAGGTCTCATTGGGCTGCCTGAGAAAGACGAGCAAACAGCATGCACAGAGCCCTGCGAGGCTCCGGTGGCCAGAGCATGGGCAAGGCAGAGGGAACATGTGCGTGCATCCCTTACAAGCCAAGGCACGCCCTTCAGCTGGAGAAAGCTGGGGTTGTATGAAGGCACCTGTGTTTCTTCTCAATAGCCCTGAGGAAGGCCAATGAACCTGTGATGGTCTCAGCACACAGTGAGGGGATATGCCACGTCCACATAGCTCTGCCAGTTTTGCAGCATCATCCCTGAACACAGCTTCCAGTAGACAGGTACCTTGAAAACATCCTCCTCCTTCTATGAGTCATCTTTGAAGCACAGCAAGCCTCATAAGTGCTTTTGGTAACTTATTTACACTAGCTGAGGTTGATCTGCTCCAAGGCTCATTATTGCAGGTTTGTCCAGGTTTATAATTGCAATTGTACTTAGTACCTACAGGATAACTAAGCACCTGCCCACCAGCAGCAACTGTTTTACAAGAAAATGGAGGTAGAGACCTCTCTTTGACTCAAGATCACCCAGTGGGTAAAATGAGGAGAGGAAGCGAACTCAGAAATGGTGCCTGCTGACATGTACCCAGTGGCTTAAACAGCCATAAGACAGGAGCTATAATGAAGCAATGTGGGGGTTAGGAAGGGGATAATCAGGGAAAAATGGAAATGTATGTACTCTGATTTTTTAAGAAAACAGAAGGAAACTGAAAAGCAAAACAACGCACGGTATTACGAGATGACACCATGTGCATCAGGACGAACAGTAGCACATTAAACAGTCACTCATAACAATGAAGTGTAAAAGCATAGTCAGTAATGCTGTTCCAAGTCAGAAAAATCACGTAGCTTTTCTTTGGTTGGAAGCTGCAGAATATGAATTGTCATCAACAACAACTCAGAAAAGGGTTGGGGCAGGGGGGGACTTGCTGTGTGTGGCCCCTACAGTGAGGTACCAGCCTGATGACAGCCCATTATCAAACAAGATAATGCAGGAGTATGAAAAGCTTCTTTCCCTGAAGAAAGCATATTTTACAGCATCTGGTACGCCATGGAAACAGCAGCTCAAGTGGGCTGACTGCTGCACACCCAGAAGGCTGCTTTGTTTACATGGCTGGCGGTTGCCTCCCTACAGGGAATTTGCATTCTCCCCTTCCTCTGAGCATGTATCATCAGCTGCATCTGTGGTAGAACCACTTACAAGGCCAAATCCTGCTCTCATAGATACAGGTGCAACCCCTATGGAAGGGAACAAGATTTGGGTCTGCATCAGTCAGAGCCAAGTCTGGCCATTGCCAACCATCTATCCTGAGATATTGAACGTTGAGACTTCAGCCTGAGCAGCACATACATGAAAGGGCTTCAGAAAGGACTCCATTGGCTCAAGTGTCCTCTTTCCTTTTTTCAATAGATTCTGCCACTGCAGGACGGATCCTTCAGCAATTTCCTCCTTGCTGCATATTCACCTTGCTAATTCCTCACAGCAAGGAAAAATCTGCAGCAATGTCATCTTCCCTCCTCGCTGAAAACAGGTGTAGGCACTAAGCCAAAGTTTTCAGAAAGAGGCAGTAGTACCATGCATTTTGATTTTCGGCGTGTCTAACATGAGGCATATCCAACCTATTCTTATTAGTTGCTCAATACCTGCAGATCTCATGGCTGCAAATGAGGACTTAAGTGACTTTAAGCTTAAACTCAAGCTTAAAGTGACCCAGGCTGCATGGAGGATGCTTTTTAACATTTTAGCTTGCTGCACCTGGAAAACAAATCACGTGGTTTATGAACTGAGCTATAGTCCTTCAGGGTCACTAGATAAAATGGTTTGAAGGGGGCCACGTAGTTGGGATCCAGCAGATGCATGCTTCTGACAGTAGCTCAAAATTTGGACTCCAAAAAAGTGACTTCCAGAATGCATGAGGGTAGCCCTTGAGTTTTCTAGTGTACTGAATGCTACAAAAGCTACGGAGCTGTGGGGAGAGCGATGTGGTGTGCCCATCAAAATCCATTGCAAGTAGGAAACATTGCCCATGCAAGAACAGCCAAGGGAAAAAGGCTTCTTTTGTCAACCCTTTCTGAAAAGCATCACACATTACCTGATGTCAGTCACTTACCAAGACAGCCTGGATTCAAACCTGTGACTCAGAAGCCAAAGACGCCACATCTCATCAGTAGTCCCATATATACTCCACCCTCACCACCCTGTAGTCAGACATGTTGTTCTGTTTCACTATGATATTAATAACCAAAGCATCATTGTTTGAGTGCACACCTCATATCAAGGGACAAAAATCTATACAGTTCTTTATGGTACATAATGAATGACATTTATGGATCAGATTTTTAGTATTCAATGGGCTTCACACATCTTTTTTCCTTAGACCACCCGGAAAAAAAACCAACTGCTAATAACCTAGTACCCAAAT